TAACAATGTAATTGTAATTTGTTTATGAAATTATTATTTATTATAACGCCAAGTATAACCATTTGTTATAAAAGTACATGAAATATACTTCTCGTATTATATGCGATGTCACATACATACCCAAATATTTTTGTTTTATGATATTGAATATATACGTATATTAGATATATATTTTGATTAGAGTATAAATCGCAGTTGTTACACTGATGCAAAATTTGGGTCGCAATTTGTCAACTGAATCTGGAACTGTCGTACGAATAATTAGTATTGTGTCGCTTATATAATGAAATTTATACGCGCTAATTTACAAGCCGTTCTCTCATCCATAACTTGAAATTGTGCGAGAGCGACTTGGATTAGATTAGAATAGATTAGAGTTACAATTAAGTATGCGAAGTTATGCCTCAATTTGCACCAGCGAGTTACGTAATTATGAGAAGTTGCTCCAAATTACTTAATCTATAAGAGAACACGTCGTCTTGTCAGACTTGTGTTCTTCTAAATTTTAAGAACATGTACGAAATGATTACGTCGACTTTGTAAGCTTTTCCAGATTTCTCTCGCATAATATTGCACATAAAATATGAAAAAGAGAGTAAAGTTATGGCACAAATAACTATTAGATTGATAATGAGACATATGCAAGCATTTCTGCTCGGATAGTTGAGAGTCCATAAACTAATTTTATTAAGAGATTCTATTTTGCTTGCTAAAAGCGTGCTCACCAAAATTTGGCATGCATTGTCAGAGCTACTTCTGGGCTGTGGTATTTTACTTGTACATCGGCCAAGACCGCGGTCGATCACCCCAAGAATCGTGATCCCTTTTGCACTCACGATGGCGGCGGATGCCTGTTCGTGACAAAATCATATTAACACGCACAACCATTTATCTTGGGACGCGATTCAGCGATTGACGTATACGTTCGTCATTGCCTGAATGGACTTGTACGCCCACACGTATGTATATGCGCGTGGCCATCGATATTGTTCTGCCGTGTTCGGCTTCTGCAAGCGCCAAATAAACCATAAAAATCTCACGAGCACTTATTTATAGTTGACTCCGCACGTGGTCTAGTAGATCGTTTTCCTAGAGAGAGAGATAGCGAACTCTTAGATACCCAAACTGAAAACTTAACTTATACATAATCCTTAATTCCTCCGGTGTATTTCCTCCGAAATTATGAAGTTTCTAGAATGTTATCGATACGTAAATTTTACGTATAAGTGAACGAGGTTATTGAGCGCTAAGTTATGCTTTTAGTGATCATTAGGAAGTCTAATCTACTATGCTAAAAGCTGGGATATGCGGAGATAAGCTTTTAAAAATTCCATCCATTATATACCAGCTTGGCTCTTCTGGTGGTCGCTATTATAACAGAGCGTAATAAATTCTTAAGCAGTTTTGTGTTATTATCTAAATATTTTATTTAAATGAATAGGAAAACATACACAAAGTTAGACTATATACTCCATATCATTTCGAGATTGAATTGATAGTGTGCTTATTCTTTCTTTGAGCTAATAATTATTTGTATTTATAAAAGTCTAAATTATAAATATTTACCATTAAAAGTGCGAAGTGCACGAAAAACTTGTGTTACATTAATTAAGAGTGGTCTATTTCTCAGTACGTAAAATTTACGTATCGATATAATACTGTATTACTCAATAACGATAACATTCTAGGGTTAAAAATGCACAAAACAAAATACGTCAATTGGTTTATTTTCTTGTATTTTCCAAATACGTAAAAATTACTTCATCCGTGGAATTTAATCTACTACGTGAAAAATGAGGTAATTACAAGAGCGTACGGTTGTTTCATTCATGACACGTGAAGACAGCCATACCACATACAAGCATGCACGCAGTGCGCCAGCTGGCATAATGTCCGAGCTACTCGTGATACGCGACGTGATACGCGTCGAGTTGCATTTAATCGTAAACATCAAGCCATTCTGTTTCGAGAACGTTGAGACTTGTGACGTATGTATTTTCAGCTCGTGGTGAATAGATCAAAATCAAGGTACAATTATTCATCTTATTCATTCAAAGACGAATTTAAAGAGCATTTATATGTATAATAAAAAGTGAATTAAATTTTATATTAGAAGTAATATATTACTTATGTATTTTTCGTCAAACAAACTATGTAGGTTTATTCGGTCTTCCGGAAAATTGACATGGGATTTTAGCATAGTTACATCCATTTATTTTAAATGTGAATAGCAGTAAGAAGGATAAAACGCGAATAACGTAGATAATATGAACGAATGGTGCAGGGTTGTTTTCCTAGGGCTGTTTGTTGTTAAAAGACCACGGAAGATCGATCGAGACATTGTAAGTTTCATTCGGATTTTCTATTTTTCTTGAGAATTGTTCTGTTTCTTTCCATCTTACAATCAGAGCGTCTCATTGAATAGTATTATCTCTCACTAAACAATATTATTGTTTACCAAGTAATATTATCTCAGAATTGCCGACCAGT